AGCTGGGAAAACAAGAGCAGTCAGTGGGAATAAGGCACAACCAGGCCCCGTAACACCATCCTAGGAGCAGCCTTAGAGAAATAACAAGATATGTATACCTGGAGATATAGATACACCAAAAAGAGAAAACAGGTCAATACTCTGTTCCCCCTTATGTTACCCCCACCCCTTATTCTGCTAACCTCAGCGATCACTTGCACCATTTTGTAGAAAGGCAAGTAAAGAAGAGGTAGCTAGCATCCATGATTACAAAATCCTATCCAGTTCTCTTGCCTTTGTTATTGTCTCTGATAACATACCAAAGGCAACTTAGAGTTGTGTGTAGTGCAAGAGATTGGATTTGTGAAATGAGTTCATATTTGCAAACTTCTTAGAATACTGTGTGAGTGCTAATGTGCCTATTAAATATCATTTATTCACCTCCCTGGTGGTGCAGGAGTTCAAGTCTCAGCGCTATCAAGTTATGGCCAGCCTCTGAGGCACAGCATGGGTTCTATCCCTGGCCAGGGCGATGATCCACATGGCGCAGCAGACCTCTCCTGTTTGGCCTGCTGCTCCCCTCAGCAGTGTATTTCTGTAGATCCACCTGTTCTGTTCCCCACTCTGTCTCTGGTGAATCCTCTCACCCCCTGCACCTCTGGCCTGCACCCCAGTTCTTGTATGCATAAATAAATAAAAAATAAATCTTAAAAAGATACCATTTAAATATTATTAAGTGTGCTTATCAAATAAATAAAATGCAGTGCCGACTCTCTCCAGCCAAATGTGCCAGTTCCTGCACCCATCTCGTGGTGTTACCCCAACAGTGGTGTTACCCCAACACTTCCAGATGATCTTGCCGGGCAGACTCTCTAGCGCCCTCTTTTGGTGCCTTGCTAACCTTTTTACTTCTCCCCTTTCCATGTATCAAAACCCTGCACTTTCCTTCCTGCTGAATTTAAGAACTTCTTTTTCGCCATACCTAGTCTCCCCAGAGTCACTAAGACTGTTGCTAAATCCCAGTGGGGGGGTTTGCATCCCTGACTGAGGTGGTCTCTTGTGAGCATCTGGGATGCTGCGGTACCTTTCTGTCCAGATCCACTCCCCTTCCCTGCGCTCTCCTCCACAGGAAGTTCTTTTTCTTCCTCCCAGCCTTCAAACACGGGGCTCCTCCTGAATGCCTCCGATTCTCTCCTCTTGCTATTCCCACGCTCTCCTGCAAGGACATTTCACGGGTGACGCTTAGATCCCGCCCCCAGTCAAGCAAGGGGAGTACAACAGGTGTGCTCCACCTGCCAACGCTTGATAAAAAACTAAATCCATTTTCTATCCACAAATCTTCCTGGATTTACATTGGGGTTACTTCAGGATGAGCTTGTAAATTGAGAATTTCATAAGTTGAAAGGCACTAAAGACACCCCACCTGCGGGGGGGGGGGCGGGGGCGGGGTGTCTTTAATGCACGGTGCAGCCTAACCCACCTGACACGAGCTCAGAACACTTACCTGAGGCTGCAGGTGGACAACATCATCTCCCACAAAACAGACTATAATAAAGCGCCAAGCAGCCCATGCAGCTTGGAATAATGCATTGGATGGAGAGCACAGGGTGCCCCAACTCAAAATTAAGAGTTCTGTGTCTTCTGAAAGCTTATTGCTTTTGAACCCTCCTAGAGTGGGGGAACCCTAAGTAAGTCAGGGGTCCATCTGTGTACAATCCAAGCGAGCTAGATCAGCAGAATTTCTACTGAATGTGCCCCCTCTCTCCTCCTCCCCTCCCCCAGCTTTAGTCCTGGGGGCTGAAGAAAGGGGAAGGGGCAGGGTCTTATCCATGTGCCTCCATTGTTCTCCTTCCAGGGGCTCCGCTTCCTCGCCCAAGATGGACCCCCTGTGTGTTAAGGAGACCCCTCGGAAGATGTTGTCAGTTGACACGCATGATCTTTCTTCACTTTAACTTACCGCCTGTGGGGGATGTTTGTTTGCTAGGGCTGCCCTAACAAAGCGACCAGAGTGTGTTTTCTCTCACTTCTGGAGGCTGGAAGCTGGAGACAGTGCTGGCAGGGCTGGTTGCTTCCCAGGCCTCTCTCTCTGCTCCTGGCTTCTCCCTGTGTCTCGCCATGGTCTTCCCTCCGTGAGTATCTGCGTTCTGATCTCTCCTTCCCATGAGGACACCAGTTAGACTGGATTAGGACCCACCCAAATGACCTCGTTTTAACCTAATTACCTCCTGAAAGACCCTGTCTCCAAACACAGCCATGTCCTGAGGTTCTGGGGGTTAGCTTGTCATCGCTGGAATTTCGGAGGAAGCGGGTATTTTAGTGAGTGAGGCTGCAAAGAAGCATTCAAGGCTACACAGCAGCTGGAGTGGAGTTCAAAGGAATTACTAAGCACTAAGCAGACCAAGCCCCGAGATGAGGGACAGCCTAGCTATGGACCTTGCCCTGGGAGCTCACACCCAGTTGTGGGGACAGGGTCCCTACACAGAAGAGCGTCAGGCCCCATGGGACAAGTGTGTGTGACAAGCAGGAACTCTCGTCAGCCTAGAGGAAAAGAGATAAAAATCAGTTGGATGGGTCACAGGGAAGTGCTTGTAATAATACCCACACCTTTTATTGAACTTTTACTATCTGCCAGAACTCTCTAGAATCCTGTTTCTAATCTAATCCCTTCTCAGGGGCTGTGGTTAGGACTATACCAGCTCATCAAGTTCTGAGGTTGTGCCTGGCGCCAGACACAAGCAATAAATGGCAGCTGTCACTCATTCAACAAATATTTGTCCCAGGCGATGTGCCTGTGGCTGGGGTGACAATGTCAAGTGAGATCAACATGGCTACCTTGGGCATACTGTTTGGAGACACACCACCCAATATGGCAGTCGCTAGCCAGGCGTGCTGTTTAAATGGATTAAGGGCCTCCCTGGTGGCACAAGGGGTTAGGCACAGCACTGTGAAGGTACAGGCAGCCATTGCAGCACGAGTTCTATCCCCCTGCCGGCCAGAGAGCTGACCGACATGGCTCAGCAGAACTCTCCTGTCTCACCTGCTGCTCCCCTCAGCAGTGTATTTCAGTAGATATGCCTGTTCTGCTCCCCACTCTGTCTCTAGTGAATCCTCTCACCCCCCCCCCGCACATCTGGCCTGTACCCCGGTTCTTATATGCATAAATAAATAAATCTTTTTAAAAAATTAAAATGCTATATCCAGCCCCGCACTCACGCCAGCCACATTTCTTGTGCCAAAATCGTTAGTGTTCCATCCATGCAGAAAGTTCTTTTGGGCAGCACCAGAGAGACATAGAGAGACAATTGGCAATTCCATACCTGGATGGTAAAGGTCTTGACAGAGACTCGTGGGTGCAAGGGAGGGGCATTATTATTACTGATCATGATAGATTCCTAGGTGCAAGGGAAGGTGATGATGATGATTTTAATTGAGATGCAAAAGGAGAGCTCAGAGAGGTTAAACAATTTGACCGAGTTCATGTAGTTACTGAAATGGAAAAACTGGGATCTGAACCCAGGTCTGTCTCACTCCCGTGTGACCTCGGGCTGTTTTATGGAGGAAATGAGTCAGGCACAGGTGGAATTTGGTTGCAGGGAGAAGACAGGTAAGGCATCCTTGGTAGGGAAATAACAGCTCAGGCAAAGGCAGGGATGGACAAGGTTGTCCAAGGACCTTCAGTAAGCCAGTCTCCAGTCTAGCTGGAGAGACTGTCCATGTGCTTAGAAAGGTGAGTCAGGGCCTGCCTGCCTTAGTGAAGAGTTAAGGAGCAAGGAAACTCAGCCCTACCGGCAGATTCCTTGCAGGCTGTTAGCAGGAGCATGGCTGGTTCAAAACTGTGTGTTATGAAGGTGGTCAGCGGTAGGGGGAGCTAGGCTGAGATCAAGTAAGGGTGTAAGGGGTGGGGGTGGGGGCAGGTAGGAAGGTATGAATGAATGGTGTGAAGCAAAGAACACCAGAGAGGGAGCAGAGAGAGGCAATGCCTAGATTTAATACTGGGCAACACCAGACAACATACTTCACTTCTCTTGGCCTCATTTCTTAAAGGCCAGAGCTGACCCAGGAGGTCGAGGAGGCCCCGTTTAGCAAGGGCCATCCAGGAGGCTGCCAAGGTGCGTGGTATGAGACCAGGAGAAGCAGTAGCAAGGTAGTGTTGAATATGGGGTTAATGGGGTGGCAGAATCCAGAGTCATCCTGAGAAGAAGGGGGAATGATGTGCCACTCGACAAAGCTAAGTGAATGAAGGTGCCTGTCTTTTTTGGGGGGTTGTGGAGTGTGGAGAAGAGTCATCATGGGGTATGGGAGTTGGGAAGGATAAGAGGTAGCGAGATAAAAAAAGGTTTGCTTTTAGAAACATGGCACACCTCCGGATCATTGTTTCACACCCCCAAAATATAGACTTTAAACTTTTTTGGACCACGACCCACAGAAGAAAATGCAATTTACATCATGTCTCGTAGGAACAACAGAGACAAAAGGCTTATGGGACAAGTTACCCTGCGCAGGGGCGCTGGATCCTAATACTTGCTCTTCTCTTATATTTCAGCTTTTTTTTTTTTTTTTTAAGCCGGCTGCCACCCACTGAATTTATTTTATGACCAATTAACGTGTCACGACCCACAGCTTTAAAAACACTGCCCGAAGGAGACTCAAGACTTCTTAAGTTGGAGGGGGAGGCCGGGCGTCCTGCCGGAGAGCGCCGGGGAGCTGCGGAGCGGAGCCGGGAGAGGGGCGGGGCGCGGGCAGGTTTGCGGGTGTCGGTCGAGCTGCCCTCGGGAGCGGGTGGAGGAGCGGCCTGGGCGCCGACCGGGCACCTCCCCTGCAGCGGGGGGCGGCGGGGCCGCCCGGGTCGCGGCGTGGAGCGGGGCCCGCGGGGCTGCAGCGACCCCCGGGCGCCGCGTCTCCCCGGCGCGCGCGGCGCGCCTGGTGCCCGGGGCGCCCCCCGCGCGCGCCCACCCTCCGCTCATTCACCCGCCCGCCGCCCGTTCATTCATTCGGCGCGCCCCGACCCCGCGGGCGCCAACCAGGTGCGAGCGGGCGAGACGCCGCCCGCCGGGGCCCGCGCCCGCGCTCCCCGCCCGCCCCGCGCGCGCTCGCCAAGTTGCGGCGCGGCCCCGGCTCCCCGGCTCCCCGGTCCCCGGCGGGTCCGAGCGCAGCCGCCGCCGGGCCCGGCCCGCGCCCCGCCGCCGGCTCTCCGCGGCGCCCGCCCCCCAGCGGCCCGCGCCGGCCCTCGGCTCGGCCTTCCCCGCCTGCATCCGTGCCATCGGCGCTCGATTGCGCGCGGACTCCGCGCCCCGCGCCCCGCGCCGCCGGCCCCCGCCCCGCGCCCCGCCCCCGGCCCGCGCCCCGCCCGCCGCCCGGGCAACTTTTGCCGGAGCCCCCGCGCACAGCCATGCTGCGCTGAGCTCCGGCGGGCCCTGGCCGCGCGCTGCCCGCCCCGGCTCCCGCCCCACCGCGGACCCGCTCGGGGGCGGCCGCCCGGCCCCCGGCCTCGGCCGCTGCGCCCGCCCGGCCGCCCCGAGCCCCCGGAGCCCGCCCGGGCCCGGGCCGCGGCGGCGCCCGGCCCCCTCCCCCGGCGCCGGCCCCGGGAGGCGGTGATGCGGGCGCCGGCGGCCCCGGCTGCGCCGAGAGCGGAGACACAGGCTCAAGATGGCAGATTCCGACTGAGGCTGGGGGGGCCGAGACCGCGCGCCGCTGTCCCCGCTCCGTTGCCATGAACCGCGGACACCCCGGCCCGGATGGCCCCCGTGTACGAAGGTAAGGGGCGCCCGCGCCGGCCCCGCGCGCCCCGCGCCGCCCCGGCCGCGGGGCCCCCGCAGCTTTGTTCTGCCCGCGGCCCCGCGCCCGCGCCCCCGGCCCCCACCCCGCGGGAGCCGGCCCCGCTCCCCGCCCCCTCCCGGGCCCAGAAAGCCACCCGGATTCGGAATTTCACAGGATCTTATTTCCAGGGTGGAGGAAGGCGCGGGGGGGCGCGGGCGCGGGGCGCGGGGGGGCTGCTGCCCGGAGCGAAGAAATTGGGAGGGGGGCGCCCGCGGCCGGCAGCCCCGGCGCTGTGCTGCTTATTTATTTGCAATAAATAAAGGTGATGCGGTGCCGCCTTCATCCCCAGCCCCCCCACCGCCCCCCCAAGGAAATTCCCTTCAGGACGAGCCGCTTTCCACTCGCCGCGCCCCCCCCGGGGGTCCCCGCGCCCACCCCGCGCTCCTTTATTCTTGGCGAGCCTCGGGGGGCGGGGGGCGGGGGCCGTGGAATCGGAACGGCCGGGGCGCGGTGGGAAGAGGGGTCGGCAGGAAAAGTCCATTTCAGACCCAGGCAGAACAATGAAATGGGCTGGGAGCGCCCCGCATTCGCGTGCGTGCGGGGACGGGAGTTTGGGGGTTCAAGTCGGGGAGGCGGCCGAGCGGATTTTCCCTGGTCCGGCTGGGGAGACCCGCGTCCTGCACCTTCACCTGGCGGACGGTCATTTTTCTGATCGACTGTCTTTGGGAAGAAAGAAAAGAGCCAAGGCAGGAGCTCGCCCTGCCCTGCCGCTCGCTCTGCCCCCGGGTCTTCCCTTCAGTCGGTCCTGTCAGCTTCTACCCAGAAATCAACCCAGAATCAACTAAGTTTTTACACTTCGGTGTGTTTTTGTGTGCTCGTTCTAGGAGGGATTTTAAACCCAAGTGTGCCTGGGTTTTTTTTTTTTATTTTTCCCTTCCAGTCATTTCATCGTGAACATGTTTTTCTCGTGAAATCACCGAAGCAGCAGCCTGTACATACTTTTCGCGTCAGTCCATCTGAGTTTCTTTCGGTTTTGTTCAGATATTCTGTGGATGAAATAGCCAAGGCGAGGGGGAAGCGAGCAGGGCCCCGGAGGGGCGATTTTAATCCTCCTGCAAATCCCGAGAACCGCGGTGGCAGGGAACACAGAGAATGCATTAATAGTTTTATCTCTGTTCTAAGAGATTTGGGGGAAAAAAAAAACTTATCTGAAAAGCAAATCTGTTATTAGTTCCAAGGCTCCAAAATGAATTAGGTTTCTGGATGGAATAAAGTTACCAGTCAGGCCCTGGATAACCAGGCTGTAAATAACCTATGGACTGTAAATATTTTTTTTCAGACTCTCTTAGAAACAAAGGGGCTGTTTAGAAAGCAACAGAGAGATGTTATTCCAGGGGCTTTCCTCTTTGATTCCGAAGAACACAAGGTCCATTTAACCCTTCCACCAAACAAAACTGCGAGATTTCTGATGGCCCCAGCACCGCAGCGCAGAAGGAGCGGGTGGCACTGTGAACAAGCCGGGAACCCATGTCGGCCGTCATTGTTCGTCTGTGTCTCTGGGAAGGGGCTCCAGTCAATGCTCCCACTGTCTCCGGGAGTGTTCAAATGAAACAATTTTCTCTTTATTAAGTACCTCCTTGAGACTCCCTCTGCTGGACACTCCCGGTGAGCTTTAGCGAGGGAACTTGGCATTGAAGTCAGAAGGCTGCTCTCCCTTTTGCCAGGGGCCCGGGTATGTGGGCTGCTGCGATGGTTTTTGTCAACTTTGGAGAAAGCCATCTTGGGAATTGTGCCTCTTTCCCTCCTGTTCCTTTTATTCTAAATCCATCTGGAATGTAGGCCATACCCCCGAAGCTAAGACTTGGCACTCCGGTTGTTACTAGGCTGTCCTTTCGGTGCATTACACCAGATCAGGCTCTGTGGGTGTGTTCGGTGTTAGGGTTTAAGAATAATCACGGATCTCAAAGGTCACAGGAGCTCACTGTATTAATCGGGGAGCCTTCCTCCCCGGTCCCAGGTGACCTAGCCGGTCACCTCTTTCTACCCTGGGTTTGGCTCAGTCTCGTCTGGGTGCTGTCTTCATCCTTCCTGCCCTGTGCTTCTGCTGGCATCGCCCGGTGCCCTGATGATTCTCTCCCGGGCCTTCTGCTCAGCCCTGCTCAACCAGCAGCACTTCGCACGGGCCGAGGCCTGGGAGTGTGTTGGTCATGCTCTAAAACGGGCAGGTGGCCTCTGGCATCGAGGACTGTGTGGCTGGAACCCACATTCCCTGGCTGTGATGCATGCTGCAGGCCTCCGGTGCCCTCCTCTGGATTCAGTGACCCTGATTTTTTTCAGTGACCCTGATCAGAACCCACAGCCTCCCTCTATCCTGAAGAAGCAGGGCTTTGCCGTGGGAATTCTCCAAGAAGATTTCTAATAGTTTCTGAGCTACTAAGAGTCGATCGGGGCTTCTTGTCAGGAGAAGCAGAATGACAGGTGAGGCATTGCATCTGCTCCTTTGCTTAAATGGGGTGCGGTCACCCAGGTTGGAATACTCTGGGGAAGCCCAACTGCTTTAGTGGACTGTTCTGAACTGCCAGATATTTTGAGGGAAATACTGTCTTTTTGAAACAGGGTTTCTTGGATAATATGAATTAATGGGTGGCAAGGTGTAATCAGTCTTCCCTGACTTGCTGGTAAGGATGGGTTTATAAATAGCACATCCGTTTTCGGTGGCTTGGTGCTGATTAAGTTCAACTTCTTTAAAAAGGTTTATTTTCTTTGGAAGGTTAAACATCGCCCTGCAATTGTGTTTACTCCATCAAGTTGCTTGGCAGGGCTTTCTTCACTATGTAGTGCAAAGGCCAAGCACAAGGTCCATGTTGCCAGGGGTTCTGAATGGAGGACCCTGAATTTCCAGTTCACTCTCTTCTCCTCACCCTGAGATGCACTCAGTGTCGGCTCCCACAGCCAGGCGTCCCCTGGCCTGACACCCAACATTCCAGGCCTCAAGCCCCCTACCCAGATGCCTACTAAGTGCCTTCCTGTCATCTTCCGGTAAAAGAGCCTGATGCCACATGCCTTAAACTCTCTTTTCCTGGTTTTATGTTTTATATTTTTAAAGCAAGTATAATTATTGTTTTCTCACCCCGTTCAAGTGGTGAATCAGGGCTCATTAATTTTATCCTGGATTCTGGACAGTGTGGTTCTCCAATCACAGAAAGCTCACTTTGAGTCTCGCGCTATGACTTGGGGTATGTTGCTTAACTTCTCTGAGCTCTACCATCATTATTTTCTCTCGCCTTATTGGATTGTGTGAGCACTCCATTAGAAAGGCGTCTGTGTAAAGAGCCTGGCTGTAGTAGGCATTTTCTCAGTACGTGTTAAACCCCTCTGTCTTTTGAGCTGCTCACAGGCATGATGACTCCAGGGAAAGAATAACCCACAAATAGTTTAGAAAACCAATAATAGCAGCATTTCAATTATTAATCTCCCGCTATTCCTTTTCCAGTTTGCACACCAGCAACAATAAACCCCCGCGGGCCACAGAAGAAAGAGCCTTCTTTGACCCCCTCTGTGACCTTTCCAGATTCCTTATTCCCACTGAGCTTCCGCTGGTTCCAGGTAGAGAATTTCTCTTCTGCGGTGGCACATTTGATGCCACTTTAAAAATGAGGAAGCAAATGTTCCAGGGGCTGCAACTGTGCCCCCGGGAAGTATCCCAAAGTATGAGAGATAACCTTTGCTCCTGGCCTGGATCCACCCCTAACCAGGGCTGCTAGCCGGGAGTGGGCACCCAGAGGTGGTGGCTCCCCAGGGGCCTTCACAGAGGGGAAGCGCCCACCCAACCAGGCGCCAGGGTCTGGCTTATCACACATTAAACACAATTTTCCTACAAAAGAAAATTTGGTGCTTTATGCAAGTTACAGCTGCTATTTTCTTTTTATGTTTCTTCATTTCTCTCTTCCTCCCAGAGAGACCAGTCTTGGGGAACCACCTCTGAGATTTATCTGGAACAAAGTAGTATGATCAAGAGGGTGTGATGGATGAATATGTTTTATTGTTCTTTGAATGCGTAATTTGCCAGTGCTTGCCAGTGGTCTTCTGATGACAATGCAGGCATGCGGGTTGCTGTCAGAGGTGCGATTCGGAATCACCCAGCTGACTGCATCACCACCGAGGCAGTGGAAACTTGGCCCAAAATCTTAACAGTTCCCTCCTGTATTACCATACGCCCCGCGGAGGAAAACCTCTAAAAGATATCGTAGTGATAATCATGACTGAGACCCCACTTGGACTTGACTTGGGGACCCTCTACCTGTATGGGAGTGCTGGTCCCTACTTGAGACCCCCAGGGTCGGTGTTGTCCCTCCGATAGACAATGTACACCCTTAACTTAGCCTTTATTCAAAATGCCCTTAAGAGGGTCCCGATCTTGGAGGGTCCAGTGGGCTTGGGAGATAAATATCAAAGCTAAACCTGGACTCACCAGACCATGGTCTGACTCAGGCTGGAAGCTTCTTTGGGGTATATATGTCTGTGCAGTTCTTACTTGGCACATGCTCACTGTTCTGGAAGTGTGAAGGGGAGACCTCTTTCCCCTGTATTCTCTTGCTTCAGAATCAGAACAGTGCTTCTGAAATGTAGACGATCCCTCTTACAAATTTCCTTAGAAACGCTCCTCTCTAATTTGCAGGAGGTCCGGTCTTCCTCTTTCATTTACTTACATTTTCTGTCCTGGTAAATGCAAATAATTTGGTGAAATGCAAATCTAATTTGCACGTGTTGCTCAGAGACTTGTCGGTTTTGCTATTTAGCCTTCCACACTGGCAGATGGATCCTTGCATCCCACGAAGCGAGTGCAGAGCGAATTCCCAGGCTTTGCTGCTTGGCCGAGACCTTGTCCCAAGCCATACTTGTTTTCCCAGGTACCTACTGGTGGGGATATAGCTGGGCGGGTGGGTGGTCTCTCAGCAGATCATTCTGGAATAGTGGAAGAACACCCAGCTCCAGAG